CGGGCGTGCTCCTGGCCGGCTCCTGCCTCGGCCTAACCCTCTCCGCGGGTCACTCTTATCCCTCGGGAGGTAAACAGTGACCGGTGGCCTGGGCTCTGTCACTAGTAGTCGCCGCTGGGTAATTTGGTGACAGGGAAGTAATTTAAATTGGGGGGCGGGGGCAGGGAGGCGGTCTTAGGCTTTGGGGACCAATGTTAGAAGTAGCACAGTAACGTATCTGGGAGGCAGCTGGAAATACCAAGCTCAAAACAGTAGAAAAAGTACGAAGAGGACACAAAGGCCCTCGTAGCATTCATCTCATTTCCCTTTCAGAAAGGACACCTCCCAGACCCACCGAGAACCAGGAGAAAGGTGATTGTCACGTGACTTTCTGCCCATGTCGCATCTAGCCTGTAGCTGATTTTCCTCTTCTGCGGCCTTAGTCTGTCGTTCCTAAATTTGCTAATTCTAATAAACCTTGATGTTATCATATGGTGATTTTGCGCTTGCTGCTTTCGAACAGGACAGTGTCTGAGGCTAGGACTCCCTTATGCCTTAAAACATTAGAGACAGAGGTGAGAACAATCCTTTAAACTAGATGAGACAGAGCTGACCTTCTATGATTGTTTCAACTTAATTGTCTAACGTGGGAGAATAACCCGTGGGGTGAGCAGGGCTCTAGGGCAACCAGAGAGGCAGTCGTAGGGCCACCTCTCAGGTGATGCCCTGGGTCCACTGGGTGGCTTCTCTAGGTCCGCTCTGCTTCAGGCTGGAGATAAGAGCTGAGGCAGTCATTGTCCCACACTGGAAGGAGGCCAACTCATTTCACAGATGCCCAAGGTCAATGCAAGCTCTTGAAATTTGGGAGAAAATGTAGAGGTGCTCACCTTCAAGAAGGTGCAGAACTGGGACCTTGTACCCATTTTACCTTTAGGGCTGCATCCCTCCCGGGAGAGCTGCAGAAGCCATGGTGCCTGCAGGAACATTTGCATGGCATCCAGGACTCTGGGCCCTGTGGTCAGTGGGGGCTGCGGGTGATGAGTCCTCCTCCTGAGTCTCTCATTGCAGCTCCAACTCCATCTGAGAAAACCAGGGCCAGAGTCCCTCCCTACTTGGCTTCACAAAAGCCACCTTGGGTCTAAGAGCCAGAGAATGGAATTTGCATTGGGCCAAACCATCACTGACACATAATGTAATGATTTTTATTCTCTGGTTAGATATATAGACCCATAAAAGCAGATGTGAAACAAAAGGAGGGCTGTTGCATGAATCCTTTGCATAAAAAGTCTGCTCAAATGTGTGGTTAATGAAAACTCATGTTCAATATCGTCACTAGATCTTTCTCTGTTTTCTATAGACAATACCAGAGTTTCACAGTGATGAGTTTATTGACCCATATGTAAGTACTGTCACCTGTAACCCCAGAATAATCTAGGCCTTTTCCCTCAGTACGTTACCTATGTCATTGTCACCTTTCCCTGAAGCATCATCCATGGACCCAATGGTTGTCATTACCATACTCCCTGGCCATTCAGAGGTGGTTCCTCCACACCTTACATGCCAAGCTGAGTCATGGGGCATCTTCCCCAGGCTCCCACAACTGAAGAGCTCGGTCTTCCCTGACTTTTCCTGGTCATCTGTGCCCATGGTCTTTCCAACCCAGAGGTACTGTCACAGGCCCAGAGCACCTCCAGACACAGAATCCGTAGTCCAGAATTTTCCCAGGCCCTTCAACTCATGGGGAACTTATGGTTGAGAAAATGGGGTGCAGTGATATCTCAGGAGTTTATTCCATCATATTAAATTCTCAGGAAATCATTCTTTGATGAGTCAACTTAGATGATGCAATATAGACAACCAGATAAGACTGTATTCCTGAGCCAGATTTTTCCCGCAGAATAATAGATTTCTCAGATTATCTTTAATTCATCCCTTTTGTTGCTAGCCCAGTCTCTGTCTTCATAAGGAACACATTTCTGATCTAATACAACCACTCCCTCCTGAACTTCACTGCACCCAGAATGTCTTCTTCTAAACTCTCTGCTCAGTGTTGTTCCTTAATATTCTGAGGAGAGAAATTTACAAGTGTCACCTTGGTACAAGCAAAGCCTGTGTTCTAGAGTCCCAACATGTCGACCTCTGACCTTCCGGAGTCTCACTGATTCCAGTGGTGTCTACATTATCTCCCCTTCTAGCCGGAAAACTTCAATGAATGTGAGGTGTGCCGGAAAAGAGGAAAGCTGTTCTGCTGCGATACTTGTCCAAGGTCCTTTCATGAGAAATGCCACATCTGTCATATTGATCCCGACAGGTTAGTGAGACCCGGCCCCCTCTTGCCCTTCCCTCTTGCGGTACAGCTCTTCCCACCACGCACACTCAGCCTGCAAAGTTTGTCTCTGGTTTTATGTGTCTTGATGCCGAGGGAGCAGGACCCTTAAATAACAGGATCCAGAAATATGAGCCAGAGCTGTTTAACCTGCTGGCGGCAGTAGATTCGTGGGGAGTGAAAACTCCTCAAGTGGTTATTAGGTGGAATAGAAAGAGGTGTGACCACCATCTCCCCTGCTTGGTTCCCCAACCCACGCTCTTGGATGGGGTGATGACATACACCCCCTTCCTTGGGAACATCACACAGTTGGTAAACCTGGGGCTGTGATGAGTCCTCAGAAGGCCATCCCTGCAGTTTGTCAGATCAGCTGACCTGGGTAACAGGGTCCATGATAAGGCCCATGAATTCCGAGGGTGAGTCCACGGCTGCGTTTCCTTTGCTGTGAAATGTCTCCTTGGTCAGAAGGGATGGACGCAGGCTAGCACGGAGATTGATGAGGCACCTCCGAGTGCTGCTGCGTGCGGAGCATGTCTGCCAGGAATGTGTGTCTCCCCGGGAGGACAGCGCTGCCCTGCACAATGGGAGGAATCGGGCGTAACCCAGCTGCTCCCGGGTAGCTCCCAGGCAGTGGTGCCACCTCAGGGACTCAGCATAAACCTCTGTAGTCAGGCAATCTGCAGAGTCAGAAGGCAGACCCACCTTTTTGTTGAACCCACAAATATTCCCCATCCCTGTACCACAGGCACTTTGGAATGGGCCTCTTTTTTTTTTTTTTTTTAAATATGTTTTTATTTATTTTCAAGAGAAAAGAAAGAAGGACAGAGAGAGAGAAACATCAATGAGAGAGAAACATTGATTGACTGCCTCCTGCATGCCCCCCAAAGGGGATCGATTGAGCCCACAACCCAGGCATATGCCCTGACCAGGAAACCAACCTGTGACCTCTTGGCTCATGGGTCAATGCTCAACCACTGAGCAACACCAGCCAGGCAAAGGGCCCCCTTTTTTTTTCCATTTACAATTGACGTGCAACATTATATTATTAGTTTCAAGTGTACAACATAGTAATTAGACATTTATATAATTTACCTATTGGTGTCCCCAATAAGTCTAATACCCATCTGATACCATAAATAGTTATTACAATGATATTGACTATTTCCCCCTAAGCTGCGCGTCGCCACAACTGTTTCTGTAATTGTTTTTACATCTCCATGACTATTTTTATAACTGACAATTTGTACATCTTAATTTGTAATGAGCCTCTGAGAAAGGACTGGGGTGGCCCGGGAAAAAGGCTAAATGTCCTCTGTAAGATGAATCATTGTATCCACCTGATTCTGAAGAGCCTCCCAAGACAGAGAGCCGAGTAGAGAGGACTCTAGGGGCAAACAGAATATTTGACACTCTATTGGTAGGTTCCCTTCCCAAGAATTCTCTGCAGCACAGATTCTAGGTACAGATATGGCAACGCCAGAGGGAAGGATGCCTGTGGCTTGTGCTCTACGCTTCTCAACAAAGTTGAGAAACAAAAGCTGGTTCCTGACTTTTCCTATGGCCTGATGGTCTGTCAAGGCCCAAGACTCCAGTCCTTATGGTGCTCATTTCCAACACTTGACTGTGGCAGACAGGGCTCATTTCCACACTCGTAGTAGCTCAGATGGGAACCCTAAGTTTTGAGGTGAATGAGAGTCCATCACCCATGAAGCATCTAACTCAACAGACTTTGGCACCTAACTCATCAGGGTGTCTTTGGCAATTGAGCCCAAATGGGACTCTAGTGCGGAGGGGCATCCAAGAGAGAAGTTGGCCTCAAGGTGGAAACCAATAGTCCTTCTTGAACAGAGGGCTTCAACAGCTGTAGGAATGGTGGCTGTTTCACAGAGAACCTGCCCTTGGTCACTTTTTATCCTGCTTCTCAGGAACCCATGGAGTTGCATCTTCTGCCAGATAAAGTCTATTCCGGAAAGTCGACCATGTCAGGAATCAGAGGTCCTGAAGAGGAAGATGCTGCCTGAGGAGTGGTTGGTGAGTTGCAATGTGAAGCTGAAGCCTCCTCCTTTCTGCTCAGTTGAGAGACGATGCACAGTCTTGCAAGGGCTGGAGGAATGGTGCCCAGAGGCAAGCTGCTGTGCCTCGCTGTGCTTTGATCACATGACTTAACACCAAAATTTGTTTCCAAAGGAAACCCACATTCATTCCGTGTTGTTTCCGAATCCACAGGTTTGGGAGTTGTGCATTCTGTCTGAACATGCGTAACAGTTCATTCTCTCCGAGCTTCTTTTCACTTAGGATCCCCTCTGTCTTTTGCAGAAATGTCAGTTCCTCCTCTTGAAGGTCTATTGCTGTTCAGAAAGCCCCTTTTTTGCCTCAAAACCGAATAATGTAAGTAACAGCAACAAAGCCCCAAACTGACGTTTGTCAAATTTGTGATATGAATGCAGTGGGTACAAGTTGCCATTTTCATTGCCTTGTTGATGGATGTCTTAGTCAGCCCTTAGCAGCTAAGCTAAGCTGCAAGGTGGAAACAGGGAGAAAGCTGTCTGGGGTCCCCTTAAAAAGGGCACTAATCCCATTCACAAGCACTCCACCCCCATGACCTTATTATCTCCCAAAGGCCCCACCTCCTAACACCATCGCTTTGTGGGGTTAGGATTTCAACATACGAGTTTGGAGGGCGGGACATAAACACCCAGTCCATGGCAGTGAGAGGCTACTACTTTCCAGTAGTTGGAACCACGCTAATAGCCTGCCCTTTGGCACTTTCATCCACAGAGTGAAAACTCAGCTGAGGACCTGAAGAAATGTATGTGGTTAAACAAAATCAGGATAAAGCTGACTTGGAAGATGTACACCCAAGTGAAGGGGTTTGTGCAGGACATGCGCCTCATCTTTCAGAACCACAGGGCAATTTACAGGGTAAGTGGCTCTCCCTAAATCCCTTTTTCTTTCCATCGAGTCCCTTTGCCTTTCATCTTCTCGTATCAGGTAAATGTTACAACTTCCCTTATCGTGCGGCAAGCCCACACCAGCAAAAATTTGGGAAGAATTCCAAAAGCCCTGTGCTGTGCCGAGGGGGAAATAATAAACCAGAGGGTTATTGCCAACGTTGCCCCAGAGCCTCAGAGTCTGCTCACTGCTCGACAGCCGATTTTCTCCCAGAGAAAACAGACTGCAGGCCTAGTCCCTGCCACAGGAAACAGAAGTGCCTTCTAGGAGATACCAAATCGAATTTCTCAGATTTCAAAATCTTGGATTTCTTTACATCCAAATTCCCTAGTGCTGTGTCAAAAAGTTAAGAAGGACTAGGTCAAGGGGCCAGAATCAAGGGGAAAGGAAGGAAGATGAATTTGCTGTAGACATTTCCATACTATCGTATTGTTACAAGTAATATGTGTTGTGCTCAAAATCCAAATAGCATGTATTGTTTTTCTCTTTGCTTTTTCAGGACCACGAATTCCTCAGGCTGGGAATTCAACTAGAGGCCAAGTTTGAGTATCATTTCAAAAACATTTTTGCAATTCAGGAAACCAGCAAGTAAAGCTCGCAGTCCGAGCCCCTTCCCTCGTGGTGGTGTCCATCTCTCTTGCCCCCTTCGGGCCTCCAGCTGCACGCGGTCAAGTGCCCTGGTCCCACTGACCATCTGCCCATTGCTGTGCAACCGACATCGTATCACACTTCTTTTTTCAAACTTTCTTTGTCACTATTCCTGTTCATTTATTTTTCTAAAATTGCTTTGTCCAATTCTCTTATTAAATAATTTGGAGTGAAATTTACAATAGAAAATATTGAGTCTCTCTATAAAGGATCATCATATTATGTGCTTCCATTTACTTGAGATTATTTATTATGTTCTTAAGTAAAGTCTTCTGTTCTCTCCTCCTCTCCACATAGAACTTATTCATTTCTCTCTTTTTTACTGTCAGGTATGTTATGCTTTTTCTTGTTATTCTGAAAGTGCGCTTTCTCCCATTGCAGTTTCTTACTGATCACTGCCTGTTAGGAAGCCCCTGTGATTTACACATTTTGGTGGCCGACGACCACACCGAGTGCTCTTTTGCCTTCACCGCCCCACGCCCGCCCCGCGCCCGCCCCGCGCGTCAGGACGCCCCCGGCAGACACGCAGCGTTTCCAGCGCTCGGCTCAGAGCCAGAGCCCTGACTGGCACCTGATGGAAGGCTCCTGATGCGGGCACGGGAACCTCTGCGGGTCCTTGGTCCCTTCGGGGAACGGTCACCACGGCATCCTGGTGAACCTGCATGTCTCCCCGCGGCCCACACAGGCAACACTTCAGTGCGGCTGGTCTGACCTAGGTCTGGGCAGAATGGCCTGTGACTTCCCTAAACCACAGAGCCTGGGGGGCTTGTGAGGAGCCGCTGTGCAGCCACTTCCCACCCATCACCTTCTCTCCAAGTGCTGTCACGACCCTCTCCTTGCCTCCCAAGTTCTGGTGAGGTAGGAGGCCTTCTGATTCCTCTGTTAGGGCACAGCCGTAGGCCACACAGCTGCTTGGCTGCAACAGGAATGCGGACGGTCACTCATGTCGCACCATGTGGCATGCGCATCCCTTTTGCTTTGGTACAATCCTACGGGACAGAGGAGTGGGAAGCTGGCACCTTTCCTCTTTTGCCTTTGTTGTGCATGTAATAAACTGTCTGAACACTAAAAGGGTGCATCATTTCTTTACCAGCCAAACCTTTTAGCTTTGCTTGACAGGTTCTCAGACCCAAAATATTCTGGTTACAGGAAAAAGAGTGCCATGTACTGTAGCTGGTTCAGAGTATACACCACACCATTCGGGGAAGTACCTCAGCCTCAGAGGGCACTGTCCCCAGCTGCTGCCGAAGTTGAGTCTCCAACACCCCATCACCATTCAATAATGAAATTTTGTAATTGGAATGGAAAATTTTGAAGATTAAATGAATTTATGAGTGTAAAGTGTTTAAAATGATGTCTGAAACCCATGATGTACCATTGTGGCTACACATAGTAGGGCTTCTGTATTCAGAAAGTTAATCCAAGCCAAAGGCAGCAATTCTTGTCTGCTCAGCTGGTTGATGGAAACAGAAACATATGGAGCCAGAAAAACCAAGGTCGATACATTTCCTAGCCCTTCCCAAAGAGACCAGTGTCTGTTTTCCAAGTTAATGAGGCTCTGGTAAAAGGAAAATTCCCATGGCCTTAAAGGATTATTGAACAAGAATCGTCAGCCAAGTCTAGGGGCCTGAAACGCCATGATGACCAGCCTAACAGAAGAGGTTTGTGCTTTCAATGCCATTTCTATCTTACGGTAGATTTAGTCAAAAAACGTTTCTTATTACAATTGATGCAATTATTTAGAGATGATTCAGAAATAAACGTGCCTGAAGCTCCGTGTCCCTTTACTGACGTTATGACTGAAAAAGCACGGTCACGTTAGTAGGTAAAATGTCCAGGGGTCCTGCCAGAGAATCAACCTCCTGGAACTACAGTTATCTAGAAAGATGGATAAGTTCCATCGCGGACCAAGCAAAATATTTTATCCTTGAAGCTCTCTCGTGTAGCATATTCTGTTTCCAATCCTTCGGTTCCTAATAAAGTTATATTTTTTGTTTAGATTTGCTGTTTACATTTTGACCTTTGGTTCCTTTGAACCCCTTTTTGTTCGCTTTGTTGGGTTGGGGGGTTCAGCAATGTGGCTTCGCTGTTGCATCATTACCTAGAATTGGTGTTTTTCTAGTCGCATTCTTTATTTGGGGCAGAGAAACAGTGTTCACCAAATACTACATCTATCCTCCAGAATGTTCCACCCCCTTGCATTAGGCAGGGCCAAGGAACCCTTACCAATGGGCTCCGACTGGAGGTGGCGTGTGTCACTTGCAAACTAATTCATGAAAGAGCAGTGAGAGTTCTCCAGGCACCCTCTCCCCTGCCACATTGACGATGGAAGCCTGGTGTTGAGGGGGCAGAGCCCGACGGCTGGAACAGCCTGGCAGACGTATTGCTGCCGCCCAGGGGGGCTCCCGGATGCACCGTGGACCCCGAGTGCGCAAGAGGTCAGCTTCTTTGTGTCGGCTGGTGAACGGAGGGCTGGTTGTTGCCTCCATACAAGCTAGCAAGTCCTGGCTTATTCGGTACTGGAAACAATGGAGAACACTTGTAGGAGTGAATTTTAGGGTTTGGGGAGCTCTGTGCCAGGAACTAGAGACAAAGGCCAAATGCATATTTTTTATTATGCTACAACAGGCATGCTGTGTTGTTTCTATTCTGATGTCACTATATGAACACACGTGCTCAGTAAGTAGGGCCTTGCCTCCCACATTTCCCAAGAGTGGGTGCCCAGGGTTAAGTGAGCCGTTGCCTGTGGAGTGCACCCAAAGTAAAGTGCACCAAGCCCAGCCGGTGTGGCTCAGTTGGCTGAGCATCGGCCAGGCACCAGGAGGTCACCGGTTCAATTTCCGGTCCGAGCACTTGCCTGGGTTTTGGGTTCAATCCCCTTAGGGGGCATGCAGGAGGCAGCCGATCAATGTTTCTCTCTTATCAATGATTCTATCTCTCTCTCCCTCTCCCTTCCTCTCTCTGAAATCAATTTTTTTTTATTTATTTATTTTTTTAAATATATCTCTATTGATTTCAGAGAGAGGAAATGAGAGGGAGAGAGAGAGATAGAAACATCAATGATGAGAGAGTCATCGATCGGCTGCAGCCCTCAACCCGGGCATGTGCCCTGACCGGGAATCGAACCCTGATCGCCTGGATCCTAGGTCAACGCTCAACCACTGAGCCACGCCCGGCCAGGCTGAAATCAATTTTTTTTAAAAACATTTTTTTAAAAAAAGTAAAACACATCAAGAAACAGGAGCTCTGAATTCAGACAGATGCTCTGCAGCGCCAGGCTGGCTGGCCGCGCCCTCCCTGCCCGGCCCACGTCTCGGTGCTGAGCTCTGGGCTTCCAGAGACGCTTCCTGTCCACGAGATTCATTACTGATCACCGCCCACAGGGACAAAACCCCTGAGGGGTCTCAACGTGGGGCCAAGGAGCCAGCAGGGAACCCCATAATAAGGGGACTCCAGGAGAGACCCAGCAGCTTGCAGAACTTCTACGTAGGGAGTCCCTGCTCCGGACAGTCGGTCTTCCCGTGGACTCCTGCGGCCTGCAGGTTGCCGGTGCTTCAGTCACTCTCACCAGACACTGGGGTAAGGACAGATGACCGTGATGGACAGCTTGTCTTGCTCCCCATTTTCTGACCCCTCACTCTCTTCCCCCCTTTCCCGCTGTCTCTCCCCATTTCTCTGCCGCTGCTTCTCTTTCTTGGGGCGCCTCCCTCCCCGTTCCGCTGACCTCTGCACTTCGTGCTGTGTCTTCCGTCTCCTTCTGCCCTGTGGCCCCTGCTCTGTCCTTCCCTAAGGTACCTCTGCCCTCCCTGGTCCCACAGTCTTTGTCACTTCCCCTCCACTTTCCTCTGTTAGGTAGAAGCCCCCTGCACCGAGCATCGGGGTCTCCCTCTCCTGCACCCCCTGCTCCCTGGGCCACCTCCTGTCACCCCCGCTGTGACACAGTGCCATCCGATGGCAGACTCCCTTAGCCAGCCTTACCGATTATTTCAGGGGCTCCGTCACCCGCTGGCTTTGCATATTCGCCTTCTTGGCTCAGTTGGGGGGAACCGGATGAAACTGCCTCCTGCACATCCCCCGGGCCCACAGCACAGGACTGCACTTGACTTTCCCGTGTGGAGAGCTCGGCCCCTAGAATAAAGTGACTCGTGAAGAACCTTCATCCGCCCCCCTGAGAGAGCCTCGTGGCTCCCTGTCCTCCCTCTCTCCCCACGTCCCTCGAGAGGCCCCTCTCCTGCAGAATCTCGCCTTCTTGCCCACTGCTGGCTCTGTATTTATATCTTTCTTCGCTTCTCGAGTGCTTTTCTTTTTCCCTTGGATTCTACCTTTTGGGTTTTCTCTTTTCCACCTGCTATTCTCATTCACTAACTGGTAATAATTTTGGATGAATTTTGTGCTTATTCATAAGTTCTTTTTCACAGAGGTAGCTTATTACATGTATACATAAAGTAATTTTGAGAACTATAACTCCCTGCAAATACATCAGTAATGTAACGTGTGCATCCCTCTTTTAAGATGTCTGATCTCTAGGACCATAAAACAACTGACCTTCACCTCCACCTCTCAAGAGATGGTTCAACCCATTTTATAGGAACAGCACCGGCAAGAATCCTGGAGAGACTATGCCTTGGGCCCTGCTTCATCCCACTTGGGAGGTCTATGCTCACCCCCCGAGTTGTTCCATGACAAATAATATTCCTCTTGAACAAAAGGGGGGACGGACAAGGTTGAGCTTTACTGGAGCCCTACACAACCTCAGCAGTGCCTTCTGTCTCCCCTTCTGTATTTCAGAAATGACAAACCAGCTAACCTCAAAGGACCACACTCTCCTCAGATTTTCCACAAGAAGTCTCATCACCGTCCTTTCTCACGATGCCCTCAGGACGCTAAGATGACTCCCTCGTTTACCTGCCTCTATAAAACCCCAGGCTCTCTTCCTTTTCTTTAAGATGTTCCTCATTAATGAATGTTCTCCTTATTGCAATAGCTTGATAAAACCATCTCCTAAACTTAAAAAAAAAAAGTCGTACCTTAAGCTTCTCACATGCCTCGGCCTGCTTGCCTCCCTCAAACCTTAGAAAGGAGCCAGAGACTGGGCTTGTGTGTGTGTTTGGCCCCTCCTTTCTCCACATGACTTAACCAAGTAACTGATTATTAAAATGCAGGAGTCGATCAGTTACCTTGTCCACCATTCAGCAGTAGGCTGGGCAACTCTTCGGACTCTCTCTCCCTTTTTATTCCAAGACCTTTGGATTTGCCGGGCACTGAAGAGAGATCAAAAGAAAGGAGAGACCAGAGCCAGCGGCCAGGAAAAAGACTCAGGTGTGGCCATACTGAGCTCTGAGGTTGAAACTAAAGTCAACTGCTCCTCCTAGAAATATACTCCCACCCCAAGAACCCCACCTCAAATCCAGCCAACCCCCTCCCTCCCTCTCTCTCTCCCCTTCTCAATTTTCTACCAAGAGCCAACCTCCAGGCATTGCTGCTTCTAACCTAGAGAAGTTTTTCTACATCCTGGACGCCACTGGCTTGTCTCCCAGCTTCTCCTGTCACCTGTTCCTGTCTCTCTTCTTTCTAGTGATGCTCTCCAGCTGGGTCCTTGACAGCTCTGTTTTCCTTCCCAGCTCTTTCCCTGCACCTCCCCACCCTCTGTGTTAGGCGCCAGTCCCGTTCTCTGCCTCTGGGATTTTCCCCACTCGACCCACAGAAACTAAAAGATACACTTTTTAGTCTTATCAGGGTGTCTTCTGGCAGTGGGAGGAGGGGGGTGGGAAGTGGGAAGTGACAACTTCAAGGATACGGGGTTTCCTTCTGAGGGGATCGAACTGTTTTGGAACCAGATAGAGGTCATGGTTGCACAACGCTGTATACTTTTATACGGTTGATTTTATGTTATATGAATTTTACTTTCATTTAAAAGGGAAGAAATAACACAGGCTCTGGGTGCAGAATGCCTGGGTGCAGCCTGCTCGTCTGATGCCAGGCCAGCTACACACACGGTCCCTCTAGATCTCAGTCTTCTTACCTGCATCACAGGCACATCAGTGATACTAACCTCTGAATGCCGCTGTGGCCACTAAACCCACGACTACCAGACGGATGCTCAGTCCAGTGAGCACTTACTAATAGTTTCCGGGTGTCCTTCGCCCCTTCTCTGTCTTTCCTTTCCCCCCTTCTTTCTCTCGCCCTCAGAGTGGCCGCACGCCTCCCACACCTCGTCCGCCTTTCTTCTCGGATACTTCTGCTCTTAAACAGCGGCCCCGTGTTTCCGTCAGTCCCTCCTTCCATCGTCGAGGTAGAGGCTGACCGTGGGCCCATCGTCCTCAGTCCTCCGCAGCCCCTCACACAGGCCCCCACGGAAACCCCTAGATCGCACTCGGGATCCCACGCACCCCCAGGTTTCTGCGCGGAGCCCCTGCAGCCTCTCGCTACACCCTCGGATTCCACGCAGGGTCAGGTCACTTCGGGGCTGATTCTGAGTATCGCTCCTCTACCCGCCCCGGGTTCCCCTGGCCTTCCTTCCCCGGCACCACCGTCTCCCTTTGGCACCTCTGTCTGCTTTTCCTCTTAGTCACCGGAAAACAAAGTTTGCGTCTTATAATAATTACCTTGTTCACAGCGTGGCTGAGTGCTGGGAATTTCGTGTATCTCTTCTCTATCACTTTCCCAGGGAAAATGTTTGTCCTGGATCACTGACCAGAGGAAAAAATTAATTAGAGGCTGCAGATAGGTGATCAGGGACACCACCCCATAGTTACACATCTGGCCAACCGTGAATCCCTGTTCTTCAGGGGGGAGCTTCTGGCCCGTGGGTCACTGAATCTCAGTGGCTCCTGACTTGGTGTTGCCTGGCCCTTTCCCCGGGACAGTGAAGAGGGGGGAAAAAGCCCACTGAAATTCTACAGGTGATGAGTCTTGGGTTTTCAGGATAGTAGTGAAACTGGGAAAGTTATAAAAGTAATTAATCACCCAACAAGATGATCAGAGCGGAGTGGAAGCTAGCTTAACATGAACTGTGTAAGCTGGATGTCTCTGTGAACTGTACACACCTTGGGAAGGAACAGAGGGATTTTCTCAGTAAGAGGGCCAGGTATTCCCAGAAGAAGAAGAAAGAACATAATTAAACCCAAATTAGGCCCTAGCACAGTTGTCACTTGGCAGATTATTTTGCATGGCAGTTTTGTCCACAGTTACTTCCATTCACACTGCCACACACAGGGCCGGGGACACAGTGAGCATCCCATTAACACTTGTCAAATGAGAGACTGAGTGAATGAATGAATGAATGAATGAATGAAAAGTAGACCTGGGCCCCAAAAGGGAGGGGAGGAAATTGATTACCATTTTTGAAGCTTCTATGAACTTGAATTAAATCAGGATACTCCTTCAGATGAACCCTGCTGAACAGGGCTTGTAGTAGTGACGGATCGAACGTCTTCTCAATTTGGCAGAGAATAAAATACACCACTCTCCCCACAGGAACCAGGTTTCTACAGGCTTCTTGAGAATCCTTGTAAAAAGTTCAACAGAAAAATATATATGAAGTGATCGTTTTAAAGTTAAACAGACATCAAGGAAGTAATCGCGTAGAATACTGTCTGCTTTTTCAGTGTCGACTACCATTTTCATGTTATATTTTAGAACTTCTAATACATTTAATCACCCATTTAAAATCACCAATGGAGCCTTCTTCTTGGCTTCTGCACTTCCATCCTACTTAGGCTGTTTCAAGAATGGAGCTTATAGCAACCCTTGGTGTTAGAAGTCTTGCTAAGGCTTCAGGAAGCAGGGAGACGGTCCTTCCCTTGCTGGAAGGAGCACAAGGCACAATCGCGAGGTGAAGAGATGGCTTCTTCCTCTGTGTACCCAAGAGGACCCACTAATCAACTCCGCTTGAATCCCAAGTCACCCGAACCACCTAATGAAATGTAAATACTCTGGAGGAGACAACAAGGCTGAAATTTGATTTATAATGGCACAAATCCCCTGAGGATTTCATTTGAGGTAAGTGGATGTTATAAGGGAACACTGTCCCAATTCTTTCCATTATTTTAATTTTCTTTCATTTTGTTACATTGTGCACATCCCTACGCCTTTGCAAAGCACGGCAGCTGCAATGCGACCCTATCACCGCCCCCCGCCCCCCGCCCCCCGCACACACTCCATCGTTGCACAGAGAGGGGCTTCTAGATGCGTTCCACAGACGCGTCCCTAGTGCTCTGGCCGCCCTCAGCCTTCAGGGTGACTAAGTGACTCCACAGGGTCTCCCCAGGAGAAGCAGGGAGGGCTGCATCCTGAGGCCAGGTCGCCAGGCCTGAGCTGGCAGGAGGCCCGGCTTACGTCGTAGAGCTTGTCGGTGATGAGGGCGCGGTCCCGGAGGCTCTCGAGGAAGGGGAAGGGCTTGGTGACCGCGTTCGCGATCTCCACCTTGTTCTCCCTAAAGTGGGTCAGGAGGGCTTCGTGGAGAACCGTCTCCTGGCGCTGGACGGCTGAGGACATCCTGAGGGCGAGGCGGAAAGAGGAGAGAAAGGCTAAGGCTCCAGCCGGCCGGCCCCCGCCCCCGGGCACCCCGCGGGCCGTTAGGCCGAGGCCTAGCCCAGCGCACTCGGTTTCCTCCTGAACTCAGAATCCAGGACGCGAAGAGAGGCTTTAGGAGAAATCCAAGCAGATCGGTGTAGAAGCCAGGTGTTGGGCTAGTGTCAGGACCGGGAGAGGGGGGAAGAAAAGATGCCCTGATCCCATCAGACCCGCGCAGAGACGACACGGCCGAGCCCGCGGAGGGGCAGGCTGGGCGCTGAGAAGTCCTGCGGGGTCAGCACCCCGGGAGCCTGTGAGAACAAGACCTCTCACGGCGGTGGGAAGGGACTGACAGGTGACACTTCCCACCCCACAGAGACAAAGTAGATTATTCAAGCCCTGAAACTCCACTCAGAGGCAGAGGAGGACTGGAAGCTGGGGAAAGCGCCACTGCAGGAGCTGTGGCAAGCTTCACCAAGAACAGATTCGGGTCAGCCCTGGCCGGTGTGGCTCAGTGGACAGAGCGTCTGGGTGTCCGCCTGCCGGCCTGTGCACCGAAGGGTCACAGGTTTGACTCCCCTGGGCCCAGTCAGGGTGTGGGGGGAGGCTATCAGTCAATGTGTCTCTCTCACATTGATGTGGGGGTTTTTTTCTCTCTCTCTCCCTTCCACTCTCTCTAAAAATCAATGGAAAACATATCTTCAGATAAAGATCAGCAATGACAATGAAAAGCGGCCTCAGTTCAGGATTCTGCCCGAGGGGTGAGTGTGAGCTGAGACAGGCGGTTTGACGGTCGAGGAGAAGGCTTCCTGGGCCTGCGTTCCAAAGGCAGGGGGCAATGGTGGCAGCGGCCACTGTGGTTGACGAAGAGAGGGCCCAGGCTTTCTCCTGTGGGTGAGAATTGGAAGCAAAGAGCAGGTGCCTGAGAACTTTGGGTAGAAACATTCATTCCCGGCTGCTGCTGTTGCCGCCCAGGAGAGGGGGCAGGACTCTGTGTGGCACCCTTGGTCTCTCCCTGCACCCCCTCCTCCCCATCAGAGGAAAGTTCTTAGATGTTCTGTACATCAAAACACACGGTCAAGAAAGTGGAAAGACAACTTACAAAATGGGAGAAAATACTTGCAATTCATATATCTGGTAGGGAGTTAATATTCAGAGTCTGCGAAGAACTCCTAAAACTCAATAACAATAAAAACCACAAACAACCCAATTCAAAAACGGGCAAAGGATTTGAGTAGACATTTTCCCAGAGAAGATGCACAAATGGCCAGGAAGCCCATTAAAAGATGTTTAACATCATTACTCTTTACGGAAATGGAAATCAAAGCCACAGTGAGATATCCCTTCATTCCTACCAGGATGGCTATAATTTAAAAAAAATTTTTTTAATTTAATTTTAAAACACACACACAAAAAAGCTGGTGTGGCTCAGTTGGTTGAGTGTCATCCCATGTGCTGAGAGGTCACTGGTTTGATTTCTGCTCAGGGCACATGCCCCCTGATTGAGGGCTGGATCCCCGGGGGGGTCATGCAGGAGGCAGCAGATTGATGTTTCTCTCCCTCTCTCTTCCTCTCTCTCTAAAATCAATTTTAAAATTTTTTTTAATATTTACAAGTATTGGTGATGATGTGGAGAAACTGGAATCCTCATGCATTGCTCGTAGGAATGTAAAGTGGTACAAGCACTGTGAAAAACAGCTTGGTTTTGATCTCAAAAAAAATCAAACAGAACTACCACGTGACCTAGCAGTTGCACGTCTAAATGCACACCCAAACGGTAAGTACAGAAGTAAAGGGCATGGGGTGGGGGTGGGGGTTCTCGGTTCAGTGGAGAGCAAGGCCTTGTAGATAACTAGGGTCAGGCCAAATATCAGAAACCTTTCAGAGGCCTTGGATGTGGTCTTGAAGCCAGGCTCCCCGCTCCGCTCCTCCCCTCCCTCGGTTCAGCCACACCCTGGCGGGAACTAGGTTAGCAGGTTCAACTGAAGGGGTTTAACAGAAAACAAAAGTGGAGAGATCCAGAAGGAGCAGGCACTCCTGTCCCCAGCCCCTCGCCCTTCCCCAGGCGGAGGAGTCCTGATCTGACCCAGCCCCTTCCTGGGACCCGGGCTGGGCCCCCGGGGCAGCGCACAGCGCTCGGGACACACAGAGGCCGGGCAGCGTGGTTTTGCCTCAATAAACACCAGACGAAAACCTGGGCGCGCCTCCTCTTTCTGGCACAAGTGCTCTTACTGGAAGTTAGCTGCTGGCACCCCGTCAGCTGGCGGGGAGCCCGGCCGCTTTCCCATAGCACCCTCGGCCGTGCGGGCTGACCTCGGCCAGGGCGCTCTCTCCATAAAGCCACGCGCACTGTTAAAGCAGGAACATGCTTTCCGCCCAGTTGGCAAACAGCCGCTGCCCCAGACCCTTCAAGGGCCTCCCTGCGGTCGCTCACCCGCACCCCCACTCCGCAGACCACCCCAATCAGGGACCTGATGGCAGGGGGTCCTCCAGGAACCGGCTCCAGCAGCCTTCGGTAAGGATCAGTTCTCATCGGGAGTAGATTCTACTACCGGGTTATTCTGTGTCCTACTGTTAGCAAGCGAAACTTCATTTGAAATTTGCATTTTAACGGTGCTTCTCCGGTCCCCTCTCCGGGCTCTGCAGCCCCCGGGTGGCAGGATGTCGCTATTGCACAGTCCCCTTTAGAAGCATTCTGCCCCTTTCCCCCTCTGAATTCACACACTCAGAAGGTTAAGGCTTTTTCACATTAATACTTGTGGAGAAGACAGTTGGGGTTTGCATGTGTCCTTGGCAAGGGAGATTTGGAGCCAGAGGAGCAGTCTGTACTTTGAAAACAGTCCTCCTCTCCACTTTTCTCCTGTAGTCTTAGGAATTGGGAGAGAGAAAGACAGAGGGGGCTGTGAACTGCTTCTAGAGCCACGTTTCTGGTTTTGCAAAGATTTGTAAGAAAAGGACAGTTGCTCTCAAAATTGGGTTGTAACTTAGTGATATCATTGGTTGACCCACCTGTCTAACTACACAATCCTGAACTTGCTTCTTTCCCTCTGGGTGTACAGTTTCATTTTCACTTTGGGGAGGCGGAGTCCTCCCTGGGTTTAAGAAATCCTCTAAGTATTGCCCTTAGGTTGGCCTTGGGCCAAGGAGTGCAAGATATCCAAGGACAATCACCTGTAAGGGCAACGTCAGTTTTATAGTCTTCTGTTGTAGCTATTTGCTATCTTTCAGTGAAGCTATTTAAGTTCTTTCTTTAGCATATTTAATTGATATTGCTTGAAGGGTGGATTTATGTTTACCTTTTACGGTATTAGTCAAGGAAATGCTCCCCAGTGAGATGCAACGTCTACTCCACATTCCAATCAGGTAAAAGAGATACTATCAGTTCCGATAAAGCCTGTTCAAAATATACCAATTCACTTGTAAATTTTTATCTTTATTCGATCAACTCTTACATTCTTAACTACAGCCTCCATTAGGACTTTATCAACGGTTTTGATCTTAAAAACTGAGCTCTCTGGCCTTAAGACAAAAGGAGACATACCAGACAGAACAGAGAAAAACAAAATTAACAAAACCCATGAGTACTCATTCCAAATAACCAAGAGTCATTAAGCCCAAGAAACTAGTTTTACAAATATTTTCTGCTGCTAATTGTGGACCAAAAAAAAAAAAAAAAAAAAAAAAGACATTAATTGTAGCCACCTGGCAATTTCAAGTAGCACCCTAAGGTTGCGTTCCCTACTGGAACCAGCATTTTTGCACTCATGTTTGTGTTTACCTAAACGTCCCCAAGCACCAGTGGATAGGCCTTTGATTGAATCATTTATCACAGAAAAGATCAATGGGAAGGGACTCGGGCCCTCCCCTCCTTCCCAAAGGAAATGAACAGACCTGAATATGGATGTCAAAGCTCCCACCCACCCTTTTATTTTGGATTCCTATTTACTCAGCATAATGCCATCTTTCTGCTCATAATCGCCTNAAAAAAAAAAAAAAAAGTGGTTCTGTAATAAAACTGACAAGTGCAATAAAAGTAACCTTACAGGGTGATCTGATCATAAATTCCTAACTGGGCAGGTTGTGGTAGATAGTCACGCCCCAGGCACATAACTTTTTAGTAAAAGGTTTATCTTTGTTTAAATTAGTCCTGTCCATTGTTCTTGTACATCTACATGTACACACCTTTGAGATGCCAGAATAATCAGAGCCCTGAAGCATAACCGCTCTCAATAGAGCATATAATCATGTTAACTATCCTGTAATCCAATTCTCACCTGGCTTTCTCCCACCTTCATTTAAGCTTCCTTACCTCCCCTCCTTAATTCCAAATATGTAAAAGAACTACAAACTCATTCTTGGGAGCATTTGAGATCTTGCTCCCAGCACTGTTGTCAGTTTGGCTTAAATAAAATCTTATAAAATTCCTTAGAGGCTTAAACATTTCTTAGGGCATAACAAAACAAAAGGAGAGATACCAGACAAACAGAGAAAACAAAATCAACCTATACTTGGCGTAGTCAGCCCACTCAGGACCATCTTGGGAACCTGAACTCGGACACAGGCCCAGTGCCAGGTACAAGCATGAGCCCTTTGTGCCCCACCGGCTCCCTGCTTTGCATTTGGGTAGAAAATCCCCAAGGTGGGTAAGGGCTAAGAAAAATGGGTGGCTGCTTTTCATCTGTTTTTTAATTGGATTGATTTCAATTCTTTGCTAGTTAAATGAGAGACAGAACTCTCCTTAGCTCCCAAAGAGAAAGGACACTTGCTTCCCCACCCTGAATACCCAATGGGGCTGTTGTGGGCGGCGGGAGCGGCACCAGGTGTTAGACCGGTGGGGTCAAGCCGGGCCTGGGCTCAGCAGCCTCAGTACTTGGTTCCGGCCAGGAAAGAATTCAGAGTCAAGCCTCAAACAGTAAGAGAAGATTTACTTATAAAATCACAGAGGTAGAAGTAATTTGTTAGAATAAATGGGCTGAGGAAACAATTTAGAGAAGCAAAGGAAGGGCCCTAGGAGCTTGGGAGTGAGGAAGGTGATGGTAACAAGTCTGGAGGAGGGAAAAGGAAAGGGAAAGACGCCTGAATGGCCCAGGGATGGAGAGTCCTCCATCCTAAGGGTTTTAAGGGTGGAGATTTTAAGGGAGGTCCCAGGGGAAGATCTTATTATAATATTCAGCAGTGTTCCAGGTGTGTCCTTTCAGGATCTAGGTCTCCACTGATTGATCGGTCAACTCCGACCCAGGACGGGGTCATTATCCGACCCAGGGGGGTCATTATCCAACCCAGCTGGTCCTGAGGTCAGCCTTGGTGTCCCTTGTCTGGATTTGCTGCTCTTCTGGGCCTGGAGCTGAAATACAGCTGAGACCTAGATGTTATCTCTAGTAAGGAAAAGGTCAAGGGGTCCAAACTGCATGACCAAAGGTCACCCTGGGGGTGAGGTACCACCTTACAATTGTCCTTTGCGAGGCACCCAGGACTTTCTGCTCTGGTGACGTTCTGTACCTGACCCATTGTCCTTGCTCTGCTCACTGGGTGATAATAGTTGCTGCAGATCCCAAAATCCGGAGTGGTAGAGATGGGTTCTGTGAGGTGTCCAGTTTGGTAATGCAGCCAATCTGGAAAAGCCAGCAGGAGCCCTGGGAAGAGTTCTTTGTGAAGGGGAGGGCACCGGGAGAGAGCAGCCCATGCCTTGGAAAGGATCAAGGTTCCGGTGGCATCGAGTAAGCTCTCACTGGCCCTTGCTCGGGTATTTTTAGCTGACGAGGAATCTTTGAGGGGTTGCCTGAGGAAAAATTTCCTCTAGGGCATGGAGCAGTCCTATAAGGATTCCCACCGCATTTGGCTTGTCCAGAGACACACACACATAAAGGCTGGTTTTCCCTAGAAGCTTGTTCAGACTACAGATCTCAAAGGAAAAACTAAAATTAGCATGGGAAATTGTGCCTCTGAGGCAGATAAGCCTCGGGACAGTCAGCCTCCTATTAGTACTAAGATGGCCAGCAGGAGAATTCTATGCTGCCTCTAAGTTAATCTTTTGCATGTACAATTAGAGAAAAGGCCAGCTATAAAATTAGAGCAAATAGAAAACATATTTTAATTGATCTTTTGAAGCTTCAAAAAGAGGATTACTCTGGCTTTTCCAAGGTGCGTTAACCTAGATGCACAAGAACAATAGACATGGCTGGCTTAAGGCAAAGATAACCATTTCACTAAAAAAGACATGTGCCTGGGGTGTGACTTCCCACCATGAGCTGCTGATTTAGGAATTTATGATCAGACAACCCTGTGAGGCCACTTTCTGCCACCCGACTTCCTGTCAGCTTTATTACAGAACTCCTTTTTATCCCCATAATCTAAGTTTTAAAGGAAAAGAAAAAAAAGGACCCTCACTACTCTGCCTCCACCAAACTCTGTAGGTAGAGGCCCAGGAGTCTGACTTGGAAAGAATTCCTATCTTTGCCGACTCATGTCAGTGGTCCCTGGATCTTTCTACTGGGGCAGCTTTGGGGTGAGCAATGCCCAGCAGGTGAGGCATCCTGCTCACAGCCCAGACTGTGGGGGAAGAAAAACCTTCCCTCTGCCATCCTAGGTTCTTTTAGTCGGTCCAATAATTAAATCTACATGAGACAGGTTAACAAGAGAAAATAACTAAATTTAATTACATACCTATGCATGGGAACCCCATATGCATGAAAGGGTCTGAGATAGAAAGGGAAAGTGAGTGTTGGCACAAGAACATACACACCTGTAGAAAATTACAAAAATTTATTTGAACCAAAAAGAGGGAAGCAAGATCTCACCAGACTGAGGTAAAGACTTCCAGGAATAGCAATTAGCAGCTTCTTTTTTGTGTTTGAATTAAGACAAAGGTAAACCTTTTACTAAAGAAGTTACAGACCTGGGGTGTGACTGCCCACCATGACCTGCCCAGGTAGGAACTTATGATCAGATCACCCTGCGAGGTGACTTTCCATAGGACCCCTATTTTGTCCACAAGGTATATATGACATCCTAAGCTAAGGATGAGGGAAGATGCCTGGGACTTCAGAGGGGAGGAAGGTCACTGCAGGGTGATAAGAAGAGCAAATGTTTAGGAGTTAGTGGTTTGCCCTGCCCTATATAGGTCATAAAAAGTCATGTCTGGTAATAGCTATTATTATGGGCAAGGCCCCTAATTTAAATCCTTCCAGGTAGTTAAGGGGGGGGGGGTCTTGTGCTCACAGGGTCTTGGTTGCCTTTAACTCAAATTATCCACTTATCCCATTTTAGGTGACTCGTTCTGAGTCCCTACACTTCTTTGACATAAAAATTATTTTGAGTTGAAGGTAATTAAGCAGCAAACAAAGGAAAAGTTCTCTCTACCTTCCGCCCTTCTGCCTATGAGCAGGATATAAATTCTCCTCATACTGGAGACAGACTCTTATCAGCCCAGACTTTTATCTGCACCCAGAAGAACCTGCAAACAAACCTTCCTCCACCCTTGGCCTCCTGTGTATTTACCTTCCCACAGTAGCCCCCTTGGAAGCTGGAAAGTGCTTTCCTTCACGCTGTTGTGGTAGGCAATTAGTCGAGCAGAGCAAGGACTATG